TCTCTCAAGGAACATCTGCTTCATCATGTCATTGTCTTGATAGAATCCTGTCATTCCCTCTACTCTATCAAATTAGAACTTGACTGTCTGCCTTAGGGGGGGTTCCATAGTCTGGCCCAAGCTGGTTTCTCGTGTTTTTCCTAAATCACAGCATTCCTGTCACTCTGCATGTGTTCATATGATGTTCCTAAACCACCTTCCCCATATTTGTCTTCATTCTATGCATTGACATCCTCTCTTCTGCCATCCATCCATCCTCTCTGCAAACATTTATTAAGCACCTACTACATGACAAGCACTGCCAAGAAGGAGCTCACAACCTCAGAGGAGACTGACCCAAGACAACTAATCTGATAAAGTCCTTCTTGTGCTGTGTACCAACAATTCGCTTTTACTTTTATTTATTTGTAGAGCCAAGGTCTTGCTATGTTGCCCAGACTGGTCTTGAAATCCTGGGCTCAAGCAATCCTCTTGTCTTTGCCTCCCAAAGTGCTGGGATTTTAGGTGTGAGCCACTGTACCTGGCAGTACCAACTATTATGAAGGCATAGAGAAGAAAGGCATGAACTGCATGAATCAAGAAAGATTTAACTCAGGAGGTAATAGTTGATCTAGGTTTTAAAGGATGAAAAGAAGTTTTACAGGTATAAAAGAGAAAGGTTTTCAGTCAGAGGAAATTGTATTTGTTAAACTCCATCTAGCTTACTTTTCCATTCTTAGGACTTCTATAGTTCACATATCATGAACCTTACAATCTTAGTACTTATGGTATAATATATATCATGTATAACCATATTATATGCCTTAGACTACAAACTTCTTGACAGGCCAGTTTCTATACAGATCTTCTTTTGAATCCTCAACCTTTAGCGCAGTGCTGAGTATTGGGCATATAGTAAGGACCATGAAGACATTGAAAGATTATCAATATTTGTGAACATCTTAGTTTTTATATGTAAGAGAAGGAAACTAATAGTTATTTGCAACTGACTTATATGCCAGGCTCTATGTTAAAGCTTTATGTGTCTTCCTTCATTTAGAGAAGTTAATCAGGCAGTGGGATATTTTGAATATGAAGGTACTGGGAAACTAACATAGACTTCAATGTAGCAAACCAAGAATAATTGAACAAGATGCCTCTGATAGGATCTAATCTACTCACTAGGAATGGAGGTAGAAAGAGAGAGAAGACTTTGCTCCTGAAGCTACGTTTTTCATGAGCTCTCAGTGAATATACCATGCCCTGGACAGTAATGATGTCTACTTTACTGACTGCACTGCACTGGCTTTTATCAGAAACCTCCTCTTGAAAGAGGCATATGTGGGAGTGAGGAGAACATGAGTTTTAGAGTCTAGTGAGACTTCTCCATCCTGGTTCTGTTCATTACTAGACATGTGACACTGGGAAAATTTCTTAAGCTCTTGATGCCTCAAATTTCTTTAGCTATAAAATAGATTCAATTAAAAATAGCTACATTATAAAATTACATAGAATTTTAGATGCAAATTACCTAGCATACAGAAATACTCAATAAGCCTCCCTCTATTGTTCCACCTCCCTTCCTATGTACAACTGGTTGGACCTGAAAAATTTGAGAGTCCTAGACATGACCAATAAAGAAAAAACACTTTTCTCTGACAACATCTTATATTACAGAAATTTTGTTTTCTCAAATGTCAATTCTTGTCGATGACATACTGTTAGTTGTTTAACATATTCTTGGAAGACTAGCATTATTTACAGATGCTTCAATTTACAAACTTAAATAATAAATCCAGATCGAGAAATTGTCATTCTTTAGTCATGAAAGATATCAATACAGTTCCTGAAATTCAGAACTCCCTAGTTTCAATTCCTTTGCTTAAGTCATTAAACCACTTTTTTCCCTTCGGTGCCAAAAAAGAGGCATTCTGTACAGAAGGAAATTAATATTCCTTTTCTCAGTTTTAGCAAGAAGCACATTTATTATATGCTCAACAAAGTTGCATTCATTTTTTCCAACTGAGAAATATTTAAGGGATTTCATTATATTTGGAGAAATTCTTCATCAATCAGAGATTTAGCAGCCACCAAAAAGAACTCCATAATTAATCTCTTATGAGTGTGACTTATAATCTCTGCACTAAAAAAAATTATTAAATGTAAGGGAAAACTATTTATAATCTATAATATTTTTGGCAAAGAAAAAGTGCTTTGTGTTTTTAAAGATATGGTTGAGAGTTTAAATGAAAGTTACATGCTTGAAATTAGTGCCAGATGCAACACAATTCAAGCACAATTCACTAGTTGCATCAGGTATTTTACTATGATTTAGTAAAAGATATTTCACAATTCTGTGTTTCATAGAAATATCACTAATACAAGTATTTCATTCACAAAATTCATGGTTTGGCAGGTTTCCAGGGAAGGAATTTGCTAAAGGGAGGGTAAATTTATTGTTTAAAATAAATCAAAGGACTGACATGTTCCTTAGAAAACTGGCAAAACAATAATACCCAGAAACTGAAAGTCTCACAATCAGAACCAGAATAAAAATCTCAGGTATTTGAGAATTCTCAAATTAACACTGAGAAATTTAATTTTAAAATACTAGATCTTTTTGAAGTAGGATTTTCCAAAACCTTTGATATGAAACCTGTTGTTTGTCTTTGTAGTAGTTATAATTATTCTACCTCTATCCCTTGCACATTTATATGTATTAAATAAGAGCATTCTTCGATAGACTTTATGTAGAAACAATCCAGTTCCTTCTTAACCATGCCAACAATACTTCCTTCCTACCCCATGCCTCAGTTCTTCCTCTTTTGCTCTGTCTTTCCCCATTCTAATCATATTTCCACCATCAGCAATGGCTGAACGTTTGTGTATTTCCAAAATTCATATGTTGAGGCCTTAACCCACAGTGTGGCTGTATTTGGAGATGGGGCCCTCATGGAAGTAATTAAGGTTAAATAAGGTCAGAGGTAGAACCCTGATCCAATAGGATTAGTGTCGTTATCACTAGTGAGGAGTCACCAGACAGCTCCCCCAACCTGTGCACACAAAGAGGTTAAGGGAGCATACAGGAAGACAGTGGTTGCTTACAATGCAAGAGAAGAGTCCTCAAAATGAAGCCTTTCATGTTGATGATGAAAGCTGACACCTTGATCTTGGACTTCCCAGCGTCCAGAAATGTGAGAAATAAATTTCTATTTTGTAAGCTACCCTGTCTGCAGCATTTTTCTATGGCAGCCTGAGCAGACTAATAAAGCAAGTAAGAGGCCTGATGCAAACAGTTACAACAGCACTTTCATACACATCCTTTAACTGCTTAACATTTTAAAGATTTGGATCCAAGGAAAACCCTATTGAGAAGTTGAAAAGATTTGACCAGGAGTGTTTCATATAGATCCTGAAATCATTCAGCCTTGCTTTTACTCTAGAATCAGAGGATGTGTACATGGAAAGGCACCTCAGCGACCCAAGCTTGTTGATTCAGATTTTACTATGATTCTGAGTTTATAGAAAGCGACTCTTGGAGCATCTTCCAGAAGATGCTGTCCATAAGGTGAGGCAGTGGACAGATACTAGGCTTAAACATCTGTTTATGCTAAATCAAGATATATTACTCATTACAATGCAAACTTTTTACCTTTAGCTTGCTTAGAGGAAAGGTATTATTGATAATGTTAACAACAACAAAAAAATAACTAAGAGAAAATTATTGTGGGTCAGGTACTGTTGTAGAGACTTTATGTGTTCAGTAGTCCACCCTTATCCATGGAGAATGGTCCAAGACTCCCCAGTAAATAGTACCAAACCCTATATATGATTTTCCAACTTGATAACTGAGACAGCTACTAAGTGACTAATAAGCCAGGAGGTATACAGCTTGGATACACTGGACAAAGGACTGATTCACACAGCTGGAGATTTCATCACAATACTTTCAGAATAGGTTCCCAATTGAAAACATAAATTGTTTATTTTTGGATTTTCCACTCAATATGTTCGGACCTCGGTTGACCACAGGTAACGAAAACCATGTTAAGCAAAGTCACAGATGGGGGTCTACTGTATTTTCTTACGTAATCATCACACCACCAGAAGATAGGCACACTTAATCTTATCCAACAAGAACACTATTTCGTTCAATACAAGCATTTCTAAAATAGCCCTACTCCCATCCCTGTCACATTCCGCTATGTTATCTTCCTCTCAGTGCTTTTTTTCTGGCCCTCATCCCTCTGCCCCTTGCTTATTTTCCATACTTTCCAAACCCCTCCTCTGGGCACAACATGGTGCCTGCCACGGAGAAGGAGTAGGGTAAACTTTGGCCGCACCGCTGGTCCCCGGAGCATGGTGGACTCCATCACCGAATGGCAAGCGCCACGAGATCAGGAGCCGGGCCGTTTCCCGCTAACCAGGGACTGGCTTGGTGTGTGGTCCAAAGTGGACGCTCAATAAATATGTGCGGGGGGGGGGGGGGGGTGAGGAATGGAAGGGAAAAGGATGAATGAATGGAAACTTTTGCAGAAAGGTCCAGATAACATCTGCACTAATTCTGTTTTTTGCTGGCAGGAACTCTGTTCAATGTCTACGTCAGTCCTTTCCGCGCCCAGACGCACTGGCCTACGGCAGGGAATGGAGAAAGAGCAAAGCTTTTAAAACTTTCGGAAAAGAAAGCAAAACAGAAAATTACAAAAGAAGAAAGAAACAACCCCGCCTCCTTCAGGCAGAAGAGAAAGGGAAGCCCGGCGAGGCTGGTTCCCATGGCAACGCTAGGGCCAGAACGGCCCCCGGCCATTGGCTGAGACGCCCGAGCCAATGAGAAGACGCGATGTTGGCAGGGTCTTAAGATGGCTGCCGAGCTGCAGCTTCCTGACCGGTGAGTACGGCTTCTTGCGGGCTGGTTACTCGCCAGTTCGCGCTCTGGCGTGATCACTGGTCCGGGAGGGTCCCGTGCAGGCGGCCGAGGGAGGTGGCGTGTGCAGCCTCACAGCTCCTCTGCCTGGCCGCGCGAAGCAGGCTAAGAAAGCCCCCGGCCCGGGCCCACGGGAGCGACGGCGGGGCCGCCCTGGGCTGTCCTCGGAAGGTGCGTCGCAGTGCCTTCCCAGCTTGTTAGTGGGAGAGGGATTCTCCGACCCACCCCAGCCAAAGTAAGGGGGGGAGTGCGGAGGCTTTCGATCGGGAAACAGGCTCATGTTTACGGTTGCTGTATCCCGGAAAACAACTCCAGGGAATGGGAATGTCAGCAGGCTAGATGTCCAACGCCGAAATCTGCGGCGGTTAGTTCTGTGCCCGGGAAGGGATTCTTCCTGTTTTTTTGGGATTGGAGTGTGGCAGAGTTCCGGGTTGTGCAGCCCAGCAGAAAAAGGTGTACCTTTCTAGAGCTACTTGCAGTCTTGAACCTTGTAAGTATTCTTACAGAGGAATCTACTTAAAATGAGCCTTGAAATGTTGCTGGTTAATGGTAAATCTTTCCTAGTGTAGTCTTGAGTCTGGAGGATAATTTTCTGGGCCTCGGCTAAACAGACACTCTTTAGTTAAAGCATATGCATGCATGCAAAATCTTGCTAAATAGTTTATCTGGATAAGCAGCTTGTCAACTTAAATTCTACCTCAGTCCTGTGATGCAATTGTACTTTCTGCACCTTTTTGAGAAAAGGGAACACATTTCTTTCAAAATAAGGCATTTACATTAATGTTGATGTTACATGCTTAAAAATACATATACAACTATTTTCAAGCCACAGAAGCTGATTATTATGTAAATTATTTAATAGAATCTTCAGATTTGTGGGTGATGGCTTATGATTATTATACAAGTATGATTAGTTTTCAGTCAGACAAGGTTCAGGTGCCTGGGGTTATTTCTAATTGAATACAAAATATGAGAAATAAGACAGCCTCATATGATGAAAATGAAATTTAAATTCTGGAATAGAGGCAGGACACATTTACCCGTTGAGGTGTTCATATTATATCTTCTGGGTTTTTGTTATAAGCAACTGCCTTGTCTAGAAGATATGACACTACTACTCAAACCTCTGTGACTTTGATGTATGCAGTTTAGTATAGTATCTTATAGCGTTCTGTACTTAAAAAGTACAAAAGAAAAAATTCTTAACCAAATTTTAATGAGCCTATAATTACATTCTTCAGATCCAGTCTAAAATCCTTGCCCCAAGAATACGTTACCATTACAACTCTGCCCTCTAAAAGTTCATAATTTAAAGCCATAGGGCTCTATTTTTGTAAAATAAGAGGATAAAAATATATTATGTCAGTTAGTTACCTTATCTGTTAAGGGATATGGATGGTAATTCCTAGTGGAAAGGTTGCTGTGAGGATTAGTAGTAAACCAAGGCCTGCCACATTGTATGCTATGTGTAGCGGTGACCTGCTTTGTTTCCCCTTTCTATTTCTTTGGTCTTCTGTTGTAAGTAGGGTTTCCTTCCCCTTCTCAGGTCCTGAAGTGTGCAGCCTCTCTGAAAACTAATAATCTTGGCTGCTAGATGGAGAAAAACCTTATTTACTAGGATACTGAGGTTTAATTAGTATTTCATCTAACTGGGAGGAAATGGAGTGTTGCAGCAAGGATTGAGGTGGCTCTGGGTATCTGGGGCACTTATAATATTAAGATCATAAAGAGGCATTTTAGAGCTGCAAGATATATCAGAGATCATGTTATCATACCTTCATTTTATAGTTAAAGAATGGAAACCCAGACTAATGCAGTGGTTTGCCCCTAATTATGTTTCTCAGGACTAGAAGCCATCTTCTGACTTTGAAGTCAGTGCTTTCCTCCCATAACCAATGGGTCCCAATCCTTGCACAATCTAGAATGGTTTTTATTATAATTTGATATCTCCATGGGTGCTATGTTTTAAAGATTATGTCTACTAACCTATACTCACTCATTAAAAAAAAAAAAGTCAGGCCTATAGCTACCAATTAGAATATCTGATGACCATCTGGTGAACAATAATGTGCTTCACTGAATTTAAGTCTCCTTACCTAAAGATGGTTGTTACTGTCCCACTGGGAGGAAAAAATGAAATATGTTTGGCTTTCTGAATATTTAAATTAGCTGAGAGACCCCCATTCCTGTCTTCATAAAATTTGTAAACAGATTAGGAACAGCTGAACTGCGCCCTGTTCTTGGTACATTGTTATCTGACCAAGTTTGCTGAATAATGACTACGGTTGATTTTCAAGAGCAAAAGAAAACCTAGCTATTCAGACTAGGACTATGCATAAATATTTTCAGTTCCTTGTAAACTCTGTCAGCATAGGACTAAAGATATGTTCTGTGTAGTACACACAGAATGTTTTTAAGAATAATTGTGGGATGGAGTAAATCTTAACTCCAGAGGTGGAAGGTATATAAAATGAAGAAGAATGTGATATTCAAAACCACAGAGAAAAAAGGGGATTTGAAATCATTTACATTTTCCTTGGGGCTAAAATAATTAAGTGAAAAATTATTTTGGTTACAGGCTAAAAAAAAAAAAAAAAGAAACTTATGAATTTAATGTGTTGGCTGATATATGAACCTGGCTGCAATCTGCGCTAAAAATATTGTTTCTATTTCTTAGGTATTTCATATCTTTTGAGAGTGGCTGAGTAAATTTTAAAGAGTAATTTGAGATTATCTGCTTTAAAATAAAGATCTACACTCTGAGAGGCATGAGTAAGAGACAGTTCAAAGAAATAGACTCATCTTCCAGAGCAGCCATAACTGGAATAACAGGAGACCTAGCACAATGCCAGTTGAAAGCTGTGTGAATGACATGTATATACTATGAATAGAAAGACTGTTTTCAAACATGAGCCCAAAGCAAAAGTCACTAAGCAGCCACTTCATATTGGCTGATGTACAATTGAGTTGCTTCTTACACAGGCAACGCCGTTTTGCAGGCTCTGCAGTGAGTGACAGCAGTTATCTGTATTTATTAGTGGCTACTGAGTCTCCCTTGTATTTGGGTTTTTTTTTAATGCAGAAAATGACACATAACTTTAAAGAGTTCCAAGAGCTGAGTTCTGAAACATAGCTTATTTGAATTTTGCCTTGTTTTATGGATTTGGAGGTAGGCTATGCCCTTTTAAAGTTATTTTAATTTTTCTTTTTTAAAAAAGCTTATTACTGCCCCCCTGCTCCTCAACAGCAGAAATATTTTCATTAATAGTAGGATATCTGTTTTTCAGTATTGGCATACTTTATATGACATCTTTCTTGCTAAGTGTCTCAAGAATGTCATTATCCTAACTTTTAAAATATACAGGCTAGGTTCAAGGATAGATCTGGGTTTTATGGGGACCAGAATTTATATAGTTTTGGGTCTCTTCTTTTAAAAAAGAAATTTAAATTCTGAATAGGAAATCAGGTATAGTGCTTTGAAAGTGCCTGTGCAAATGAGGAGTCTTGAAGCTTAAGCTCCATTATCTTCCCCGTAATTTGCCTCTTGTTTTATTGCTCTATTCAGAAAACAAAATACATTTTCTATAGACACTTTACTCTAGACTGTGAATATCAGAGAAGTAAATGAGTGCATCAATTGCTAAGTGAGTGCACCACAGACATTAGAAATTTTTAAACTGTTTTATGAGCCCTGCTGTTCATACCTGAAATGGTAAAAATGCAATACATGGCCACAGAAATAATAATAGCAAAGAGAACTTAACATTTATTGAACCCCTAGGACTCTCTAAACACTGTGTTGAGGGGCTTATCTCATTTAATCCTCATTTAATCAGAATAACTCTATAAGCAGTATAATTATCCCTGCGTTACAGATAAACTGAGGGTCAGAGATGTTAAATAATTTCCTCATACCACTAGTAGGTGGCAGAGTCAGGATTCCAGTGGGAGCAGTTAGATGCCTACTTAAGAGGCCAAGAGAATATTTGGCGAGGATGTTTCAGAGAGCCAGCAATTGATGAGGCTGGACCAAAACCATAAAAAGTAAGATTCGATTCTTTGGACTTGGGAGGAGTTCTTAAAAAGATAGCAGAAATCTATTATTCAGGGTAATGCAAAATCTCCTGATACCTTTGTTCCAGAAAGAATGGTGATGGTTTTCTTACTAGGGTTTTTTGTTTTTGTTTTTCTTAGTATGGTTTTCTTACAATGTGGGACAGTAAACTCAGAAAACAAAAGTCTATCCCTCCATTTTATTCCTTTAGATTGATAGTAAGTCATGAACAATACAACCAACTTCTCTATTTTAGACATCTTTTGAAGGAACTGGTTTGGCTCATATGTATGCTAAAATGTATGCTGAGGAGATCATTAGTGAAAATGTACTCAGTTATCATAAATTTAGCAAATGATTATGGCACTGATTTTTAAAATCTAATTTTATTAAACTTAACAATAGTTAATGGTTCTCTCTACCAGTGGGCTGTATAGCTAATGCTAAATATTATCCTGCACTTTAACATTAGTTTCCCAAATACAGTATTGTTATTCAAAAAAGCTGCATGTTTTTGTTAAATTGTTAGGATTATATGTCATTTAGCAAACAATATTAAATTAAAAACTAGGACTTCCTTTTTTTAACCTCACCTTCCTCAAACTATACTTATATAACTTAAAAATTTCCCTGTAAATTACTATTTTCTTGCTCCTTAGACATTGAACCCTCTGGAAGCAATATTCATTAAAATATAGGTGAAGCATTCAACATTATTTTAAGGTCTAATTCGTGTAGCATGAAATATAGTATTTTAATTCTTAAATGACCTGCAGAGTATATTATTAGGCTCTTCATTTTCTTGAGCAATGACTACTTTGCTGAATTCCATTTTTTTAAAGACAAGAAGACCATTCATATATTAGAGAGGTTCTGTTTTTATTTATCTGTGGTGTGCATTGTAACAAACTTGTTTAAACTACTTTTAAACTTTTTTACTTACACAAATGAGGATTTGAGTACTTTAATATGGAGAGATCATCCCATCTCATTTTATATGGGAAAAAAAAAGTTTAGATGGACTGTTCCCAAACCATCGTTATAACTATTAGGCTCCTGAAGGGTCTTCTAATGTTTTTGAAATCATTTCCATGGCTATTGTATATATCTGAATTCATCTTTTTTCTTATAGAAGAAAAGATGTGGAGTGGGCTACTGCCTCCTGGCCTAAATGAAAGTGATGTTGAGTCGGATTCGGAAGATGAAGCTACATTAGAGAAGTCTGGATGTAACCCACAGGAAGATAAAGGGGATGGGGCCGTTAAAAAAACAGCAGAACTCTCAGATTTCCCAACAAATGGACCAAAAACTGAAACTGAGCCAAATGTAAATGCATATGAAGAGTGTCCTTCTGGAATTCCCTTAAATATGTGGAATGTAGGTTTCTCTCATGTGCATTTGTCAAAGTCTATGCATGTGTGTCTGTGCATATTCATCTGTGTCTCTGGCCTGGTCAGAATGTATCTGTTTTTAGGACCTAACAGGGAAGATGGGCTCAGAATACTTTTACTTTTTTTTTGAGGCCCTGACTGCTTAGATACTTGTTTTTATTTTTGTTTTGTTTTTCATAGAGAGAGGAAGAGGGAAAAAAAACCACATTACATAGGATTAGCTATTTTGCTTAACATGATACATGAGGTGTATCTGCTTTATGTTTTTATTATCTGTGTGAGTCATTGAGTTTCATTCTCAAATTATCCATCAACTTATTTTGAAACAAATTAATATTTGTTTCAAAATAACTCAGATTGTTATTGAAAACTCAGATTGTGAGAGTGTCAGAATGGAGTATCTTAAAAACGGACTTCTTTTGTTAGAAGCTGTCTTTATAAATGCCAGCATTTCATTGCTTTTATTACTTAACACGCTTGTTATTTTTTTAATACATATTTTTCTGCAAAGTATTTGCCTCTCAATATTTTTTCTTTTACATAGAAATTTCAAGATCTGCATCAAAAACATTCTGAACAGAAAAACTCAACCTCAAGATTCAGAAGGAAAAAAAGAAAATGCTCCAGAAAAGGTGTTTTGTTTTCATTCAGGTTGTCAGTAATACTAATACTAAATTGTGACCAATTGAGTTCAACAGTTGTTTAAACATAATTTTGAAACAATTGAATACTTAGGTATTGACATTTTGTGAATTCTTTTCAGATAAATTGAAGAATGGAAAAGAATCTCATAGGTAGGTAGAATTTACAATAGTTTTCTATTTGAAGCAGTTGTAGAACTTATCCAGATAGTTTACTTATCTCTGGTAGTGATCAAACAGAAGAACTAGTAGTTGTAATATAATTGTAGTAACCATTTAAAACCAGTAAATATAAAAATGAGTACATTTTGTGTAAAGCAAAACTTATTGTGTATCTTCTTGCAGTGAACAGTCCTCAAATGAAACGCAATGGAAGGAGCTTACTCAGTATTTTGGAGTCAATGATAGATTTGAACCCCCTGTTAAAAGGAAAAAAGTTGACAAGGTAAGATGTTTTTTAGTACATCTTATATTATCTAGTAGGATATGTTTGTCATTAGCCTTGCCTAAGGTACTTGTCCTCATTAATTCATTGAGTTAGTAATAGAAAGTTAAAATGCATACTGTGTACTGAAAGATACTAAACAAGTAAATATATAGTTACAAATCATTAAAAACTGTTAAGAACAGGTTGTTTGGACAACTTAAAATGGAGGTCCCACTTTTGCTTGTGTCAGGAAGAGCCTTTCTTAGAAGATGCCATTTCACTGAGACCTGAAGGACAGGAAAACAAACAGACATCTATATAAAGAATGCTAGGGCAGAGACATGGGTAAAGATTCTGGGGAAGAAAGGGCTGTCCTGGAACATCCAAGTTGGAATGGGCCAGCTTGGCTGGAATGGGGTCAGCAAGGAGGAGAGTAGCCCACAGTAAGATTAGAGTGACAGGGACCAAACTTTGTAGAACCTCGAAAGGTATAGTAAGGAAATGGGTTTTATTCACAATGCAATTGAAAGTCATTAAAGAGTTTCAAGTTAAGGGAATGACATAATCCAATTTATGTTTAAAAAGATTACTCTGGCTATTATGTGGTGAATTGATTGTGAGGCAGCAAAAGTAGATGAGAGGAGAACAGTTAAACTTCTAGAAATTAGATGATGGTGAATTGAGCAAGAATGATGCTGCTAAAAGATGGGAAGAGTGCATGGATTTGAGGTATATTGTGGAAGCAGAATTGATGATACTTGTGTTTCGATTGCTTGTGAGATGGTAGGGAGGGTTTAGGACATGAGGGGGAGGAGGCATTCAAGGTTTTGCCTTAAGCAATGATGTGAAGAGTGATGAGGGCGTGAGAAAGGTTGAGAGGAAAGGACTGAGAGGGAGCCTAGCCCCCTCAAAGTTCAGTTTGGGGCATGGGTGTTATTGGAAAGCAGGAACAGAGCAGATGGTTAGTATGATTAGGTTGGGGTGCATAGGAAAGTTTGACTTGAGATAAACATTTGGAGTCATCAGTCTCTAGATATAGTCATACTTAGTAGAGGCTTGAATTAATGAGTAACTCATGTGTTCACATCAGGATATGTTGACAGGCTCACAGAGCATGAAAATCAAGTGCTGAGTGGTAGGGCCAGAGGCACCGGGGGCTAGTTGAAGCCCAAGTATATTGTATCCTATGTTTATAGACAGATGCCTCTTTCATGAATCATTATTATAGACTAATATGTGTACTTAGAGATCTTTGCCAATTTCTGTGAAATGAAATCATTTTCTATGATTTTCTTGTGAAAAATCTGATTTTAAATCCATCATTGGATGCTTTTGGCTATTGAATTACACACATTAAGGAATTGTCACAACAGAATTCTGCATGTGAATTTTTTATTCCAACTTTGCAAAAAATTCTTATCTGAAAATAGTTCATGGAACACCAGGATTTTCTTTCTGCTGCAACTAATTACTGCTGCTGAGCAATCTTCTTTTTTCAAATCTTCATGTGGGTGCAGAAATGCTATATTTCTTACAGCGAAAGATCGTGAATAGAGTTGAAACTTAAACCCAGGTTTATGACACCATTCTCAGTTTCCTAGGCTAACTGCAGAAGGTGGGTGTGGTAACTGAAATATACGTGCCATGCTCCTGGCCTTGGTGATTCTGATGGGCTAAGAGGAGCCACTGGCCATGTGAAGGGTTATTCTCTTGACTGTGCCGAATCTATTCTAGAGCGTCAGGGAGGAAGATCATGCTGACCCCTGGTCCACGTGCCATCTTCCACGTGCTGTGCAGTCCTAGCCACGGACTGGATTGTTCTTTTGAGGGAAGTGGAAATCTTTGTTCATGTTTTACTTACGAGTTAGTAATGTGATTTTCTTTGATTTTCAGTTATTTACAATATTTGTTGTGTTTTCTAATAACTATATTGATTTTTTTTTTTTTAACTGGGGTCTCACTGAGATGCCAGGCTAGAGTACAGTAGCACAGTCAGGGTTCACTGAGGCTGTGACCTGCTGGGCTCAGGCAGTTTTTCCTACTCAGCCTCCTGGGTAGCTGGGACTGTAGGTGCACACCACCACACCCGGCTAATTTTTATATTTTAAATTTTTTTGTAGAGACGAGGTCTTGCTATGTTACCTAGGTTAGTTTCAAACTCCTGGGCTCAGGCAGTCCTCCCACCTCGGCCTCCCAAAGTGCTGGGATTATAGGCGTGAGCCGCTGCGCCTGACCTGTATTGATGTTAGAATGTCTGAAATGCTCCTTAGTGAAGTTAAAGCCATGAAATGAACTTTTTAGCCATTCTAAAATGTAGACCTTTAGAGAATTTTTTTTTTTACAATCCGTATTGCAATTTTATTATAATCCTACATATTAAATTGTACCTTTTTTGATACTGGCCAGAAATGGCTTACTTTTATTCATCATCTAGAATTGGGAACTTGTATGAGTTACTTTAGTATACTAGGATTCCTTGTGCAGAATTTTTTAAACAACTTAATTTTATGAACTAGTGTTCTATTTCATACTATGCTTTAAAGGTGTTCTAGAAGAAAATCATAACTCAAACACCATTTTTAAAATGAGATTTCTCTTTAAGGGAGACTGTTATTAAGTCCTTTTATAATCACTCATTGATCTGTTTTATAAATTTGAGTTTTTGTACTAGTTAACATTCTTCTATATAAGTGACATCTGGCTGAGCAGTTTACAGTAATCTTCTAAACAAGGAGACTGAGATGGCTCGGGTTGTATCTGTCCAGAATTTTGTCAGCACTTAATATTGACTTTTTTCTTTTTAATTGGGGTCTCACTGAGATGCCAGGCTAGAGTGCAGTGGCACAGTCATGGTGCAAGCATAAAAGGAAAGGAAGGATTTAGTGAGGCCAGATACTTTCATGTGTTCTTGGTAGTTCAGTATAATTGCATGCCAGGTTCTCACTCATTCTTTGGTTTGGGATTACTGTTTTACATGGCACCCCTTTTGCTGTCTTGCTTAAGTGTCTACTGTGAATCCAACAGAGTAAATAAATTTTAAAGAATGTTCATGTTGGAGGCAACAAGATAAAAAACTAAGGATAAACGTGGTCCAGCAGATAGTAGCTACTGCTCATGAAATCTGGAGAGGATCATGAAAATCTGTGATACGGTTACAACAAAACTAGCATGGATTTCTATCCATTATTTTATTTCTCTGGAGCAGAAGCTGATCTGTTACTGTATCTCAGAGAGCCTTTTTATTTTGTATTCACTCAACCTTCTAGAATGGCAAAATAAAACAAACTTCTTAATCTTGTGTCTATCGTGCAGTTTTTTTTTTTTTGCTTTCCTTTTTTTTTTTCTTTTTTTGGAACACTGCCAAGCTGAAACTCTTGCTCAACCAAGAATGTCTATTTACAACACTGCTGTCACCTGCTTCCCAGACAATGCAGAGGCTTGTGTTTTTAAAATGTAATCTTCCTAATATCCAAAGTTATTTTAAAGTGTTCTTTGTATAAAATACAGCTATAATTGTGTTTCTGGCAGCAGTTCTGGGACTTACTAATAATTCTGTAATCATAACATAATTATTTTGAATCTGGAAATTTCTTTAGAATAAATTTCACTCATTAATTTTACATAAATGTTTCAAGTATTCTTTAGTTGAATCAATTTGATTAGTCAGCAGTCATTATTGAAGTAGTGTTATATATACCTAATAGATAATTTTTGGCATGAAAAACCAGAGGTACTCTATTAAATTTTGGAGTAGTTGTACAGTATCTTTGATGATTTTTAAAAGTTGTTTATGAGAAGAAACTACTGTTATGTAGTGTAGCTTTTTCAAACTTTTTTTTTTTTTTTTTTTGAGTTGGATTCTCACTCTGTCACCCAGGCTGGAGTGCAGTGGCACGCTCCCGGCCACTGCACCCTTGACCTGCTGGGCTCCGGTGATCCTTCCACCCCAACCTTCCAAGTAGCCAGAACTACAGATGTGTACTGCCACACCTGGCTAATTTTTGACTTATTGTAGAGACGAGGTCTTGCCAAGTTGCCCGGGCTGGTCTTGAACCTGTGGGCTCAGGCAATCCACTCGCCTTGGCCTGCCAGAGTGCTGGGGTTACAGGCTGGGCCACCGAGCCCGGCCTCAAACTTATTTTTTTAGCAGAATACTTTTCAACCAGACTCCTACATGGTACTCCAATTCATAGATTATTTTGCCTAATAAAACAAACAACAGGTAAGAAGTAAACTGAGACTTTAAACCCAAGTCATTGGGTCCCAAATCTAGATTTTTCTGAAGTAATAGCTGAACTTAGTTTTTACTTAACTGACTTAAATGATTTAAGTAGATATGATTTATGTATAACGCTAAAAACATTATAAATAAATGAATGATTTTATATATACCTCTTTTTCCCCTTTTTCCCCTTATTTTAAAAATGTGGGGTATAATTCAGGGTTAGGTACATATGTGGTCATCATACAGGTGAAATGTGAGTACCCTTATTAATGTTATATGTCCTCCCCCCAGCAGTGTCCCACTACTGCCAATTCCTTTCTTATAGTATTATGATAAATGTCCAGGATCCACTTATGAGTGGTACTCAGATCTTTGTTTCTGTGATAAATCACTTAGTATTATTCCGCCTTTCTTTATGGAGAAATTTCCTCATTTTTTTTTTTCTGGATATTTAAGTCCAGTAAAGCAAACTTTAGTAGAAAATTCATCCGTATTAAAGTTTAAAAATTGAATATACTATTCAAATAAATATTTAGTAGCAAAATTTCTATTGAAATATGTTGTGGTACAGTTTGACTTTAAAAGCTTTAGTCACATATTAAAAGGTATTCTACATATGCACATATAGCTGTTAGTCCATAATATTAAACATTGTACCTATACATTTCTTAGATATTTGTATTTGTGTCTTCTTGGCATCTGTAGCAAAACCTTGTTAATTAGAGATTAGTTGTTGCCTTGTGGGAACCTGTTAGATACTGCCTTTAGATGAATTTTCTACCTGTGGCCAAATTGCCATTTCTAGGTTTGTCTATGTTGAGATCTCTTTTTTTTTTGTTTTTGTTTTTTTTTTTTGAGTTGGAGTCTCACTCTGTTGCCCAGACTGGAGTTCAGTGGCTGTTCCTGGCCACCGCAGCCTCGACCTGCTGGCCTCCGGCTATCCTTCTGCCACACCCTTCCACGTAGCTGGAACTACAGGAACGTGCTACCATGCCCGGCTAATTTTTTGATTTATTGTAGAGATGAGGTCTCACTGCCCAGGCAGGTCTTGAACCCGTGGGCCCGGTCAGTCCACTCACCTCAGCCTCCCAAAGGCGCGGGATTACAGGCTGAGCCCCTGAGCCCGGCTTGTTGAGATCTCTTAAGATAGGTTTTGATTCCAGCCAAAAGGCAACTTAGAAGCACGCCAAGGCACTGCAGTCTGTCAGCAGCTTCTCTGCGCCTTCTGCCACTCCTGTGGTGTGGAAGAGGCCCTAGATAAGTCAAATAATGTCTGCTCTTGAGTCCAGCTTAAACCTTTTTTAAAAATGTTAATACTCAAATTTGAGACTACTTACTCGAAGTTAAATTCTTGGGTCTTGTGCTTGGGTCTGAGCCCTTGAAGAGCTATAATGAAGTCTGTAGTCATATAGAGATAAGCCTTCTCTTTGCATTAATGATGTCTTGATATTTAGATATAATAATAGGAGCAGATTACTATATTTAAAAAACTTGGCTAGGTATTTTACATATATTTTCTTTGACCCTTACCATAACCTTGCAGAGAATGTGGTTTTATTCTCATTTTGCTGCATGTGAGATAACTGCAATCCACAGAAGTTTAGAACCTCACTCAGGATTGCTTAATTCATAAGTAGAGAAAGCTGGTCTTTGGACCCCAGGTCTGACCTTGCCTGCTGTGGTCTATGAACTTAAGGAGGTGGGACTATTTTACAGAAGAATGTTTTTTACTAATACAAGAATTTCAAATGTCTTAGAATATTAATATGTTCTTACAGAAACAAAGTTTGAGTGTGCACATGGATCAAAAATTTTTCAAAGTCAAAAGGAGCCATTATATTTTCCTTAAATAAATTGCCAGAAAGAAAGAATGACAGAGAAGGGCTAAAAACAAAGTTGAAAATGTAGTAGAAATCTAGGAATTTTACTCATGAGGAAACTGAGACTTATGAGTCAAGTACCTCCATTTACCCAGAGCCTTGACCAAATTCCAGTGCTTCCAGTCCAGTGCTTTTTACTGTGTTAGCCATCACCTTTAGATGCTGCTCTGAATGACTGAAGGAATGGCAGTTGGCTGATGGTGAAAAGATTTGTAATTTTAACTGCTTTATTTTTAAGTGAAAATTATATCTATTAAGTTCAGTGGTCTCTATGAGTTTCTTGATTAAGGAAGAAGAGATAGTGATTAAGTAAGAAGAGATAGTGAATAGTTTCAAGAATGAGACTGTAGCTGACATAAATTTTAGTGTGCATCAGAATCATATTGATTGCTGGGCCCCAGCCCAGAGTTTCTGATTCAGAGAATTTGCATTTCTAACAAGTTATCAGGGAATGCTGATTCTGCTGGGAATGAACTTAAACTTTGAGAGCCACTGGCTTAGAGTTTAGTTGGTAAGAGTAATCGTGGATTGCAATCTAGAGAGGAGAGATAAGAAAATCCAGAATACAGGAAGAGACTGAAGTATAAATGAGAATAAATAAGTGAGACTAAATACGGGGATACCAGGGAATAATGTTCCAGCTGAAGACAGAGCAGGTTTATTGGATACGAGGAATTGGGAGATGTAGAATTGTATTTAGGGAACAGAATTCTAGATTGTGCAGTTTTGAAGGTAGAATTTTTGGAAGTTGTCTATAACAATTCTACTCAAAGTACCGGTCTACAAAGATATGAAGTGTGTGTGCCTGAATGTAACTCAGTGTACTATTTTCCTCATTAAGAAAGTCTTGTACCTTCCCATCCTCCCAAAATCATCTAGATAAAACTCTGTTTAGTTATGAAGCTGATTTGCATTTTGGCACACGCTCCTTATATTTGCATGGACCAAAATAAACAGTTTATGGATTGATACTGTGTACAGACCAGAAAGGTGCACGGGCCATAATTTGAGTGGCGCTGGTCTAGAGTATAGACGTTTGAAGTAGGTAGAGTTAGAGGTTCCTGAAGATGAAGGATGTTGGGGAAGTGAGTCTAGGGTATTGTTTGGACCATCAGGAAGACAGTTCTTTGGAAATACCGGAAAGGAGAATTTCTGGAGAGTAGTAGATGATCACAGGACAAGAATGGGAGGAGAGTATTAGAGCCATATGGCCTAGGGTCAGATACCATGAGGGAATATTGAATGAAGCTACAGAGGGGAGCAAACTGAAAAGCCTATTGGCCTTGCAGGTATTTAGTTGGGGCTTATGAAAAGGGATTATGGGAAAGAAAGAACAATCTTCCCTTAACAACAACATGATGACGTCATTAGTTATTGTTTCTGTGATCTTTTTTAGGCAAATTATGTTGTTATTGTCTCATCTCAGCAAAGACTACGCAGGAATAGAATTTCTCTCAGTTGACTGGGATAATCAAGCAATATTCTGATAGAAGGGATGTTCTTAGGACTTCTGTTATTACATAAACAGGGAGAAGACTATAAGAGATACAGTATTGACTGAAAATGTGAAAGTTGAAGGATACACTTGATAAGCCGTTTTTAAGATAAAATCTTCTTATAAGAAACATATATTAGACTATATTTCAAAATTTTTATTATCTGTAATACCTTTTACCAGCTAGAGCTCTAATTATTTAAGCCTATGCATCTTTTTTATAAATATATGATAAGTTCTAGCCTAATCTGTTTGGTAATCTCACAAAAATATTATGATTTCCTGAAGTATCTTTATTAAAGACATTTCTGTAGGCAAATAAAAGCATTCTTATATGTTATTTTCCTCCTACATTTAATATTTAACTTAGTGTCCATAAGTCAAATACTCTGAAGGATTGTTGAGTAGAAGTCTTGAGCTATAGGAATGGGCAGTAAGAAGAGATACAAGAAAATTGTGATTGAGAATGCAGGCTCTGACTAAACCTGAATTAACGTGATAGCTTTACTACTTAGGGACACTGGCCTTGGCCAAGATAGGGAGTCTAAGGCTCTGTTTCCTCATATTGAAAACAAGATAACATTGTTATTCATGGAGCTGTTACAAGAGTTAAACAGCTTTCTTAAGAGTACTAAGCTCAGAGTCCACTAGACAAGAAACACACTGTAGTTTTTAGCTATTATTATCATCAAGATTATTCTTGTTATTAGGGGAAAACATTGGCTTGGAATACACAAAAATCTGGATTTGCATTTCCTTTTTATTAGTTCAAGAACTTATATGACCTTAGGTAAACCATTTAATGTCTCTGAGATGGTACCAAGGGGAATGGTACCATCTAGCATATGAGGTTATTGTGATAATTAAATGGTCTACGTATGTAATGCATTTGGTGTAGTCCTTGATGTAGTCTTGACTAGGAAATATTTGCCTTTCCTACCAGTCCTTAATTTTTAGGTTTCTTTTCTTTCTAGTCAGGCCTTGAAAAGAGGATAGACCAGGCTGTGGAGGAGTGGAATATTGAGAAGGCTGAGGAACTCAGCAATCAGCTGGCTACTCGAGAGGTAAGTCAAACCAATGACACATTTTCTATATTTTCAGATTTTTCTAAAATGAATATGTATTCTTTTTATGATCGTTAATAAGTTCAGTATTAAAATATTTTATCTAAGATTTTCCTTTTCATTTATTTTCTTCCCTCTTATTCTGTCATTTATTTTGAAATGCTTGGCTTTATTTTTGTCCTTAATGTTTTTAATTTATTCTGGTCTAAAACTCATGCTGGAAATAATCCATGATTGATACGTAAACGTAACCTTAGATTTTACCTAGGTCGGAGAAGATTTTTAAGGTGTGATTAAAAAGCAAGTTTCTTTTTCCAGTTGCATCTTTAGCTATTTGATTCTTCCTGAGGGCAGCTCATGTTCTAAAGTCACATCCCTAAGCATTTTCTTAACCCTTGCTAACATGCTTTCTTATTCTGTGTTTGGCACATCCCCTTGAGCCCTAAAGCATTTTTAGTCCTTCTTTCTTGTAGTTTAAAATTAATAAATATGTTGAATGTTCTTTTTTCAAGTATAGAAGGCCACAGGAAGATTCTGACTTACATTCCTGGGGGCGGGGGTGGATGATATTCCTTAGTTGAGACTTTATGTCACATATCGATTACTGAGCACATATTGGCATGTGGTTTGTTGTTTTGTAATTCCTTTCTGTTCTTTCTGGGAAAAGTCTCCACTGTAGCTTCTCATTTTAATGCCTGAAACTTTGCCTTTTTTACCTTATACTTGAACTCTGACTACTCCCATCGTGTTTCATCCTACAGAGAACATCATGGGTTATGTGTGTAAACTGCTGGCCACACTCACTGTTCTCACTGACTTGCAGGCAACTTTTTTTTTCTAAACTGAAACTAGAGATAAACTTGTGGTTTTAGTAAATTCTTCTGTAGAAATATTGCACTCTTCCATTGTCAGATCAGATGGCAAAAAAATCTACCATTGATGGATGTTTGCATTTTCTTTTTCTTTTGACTTTAGGCGTTAAGTATCTTGTAAATTTTATGTTTTGGTATAGGGAAAAAACAAATTTGGAAAACGGATTCAGAAATTATTTTTTTTTCTTAAACCTTTTAAAATCATCTGACACATTAAATAATTCTGTGTATAAGGTAGGTGTGTGTGTACACTAATGGCTAATATAAAGGAGATTATAAAGCTTCAGTTAGACAAGAAGTAGCATGAATGGCAGTTATGTGGTCTTTCCAAAAATAAACTGACATTTTCTATAAAGTGTTTTTTATTGTAAAGTATGCATAACATAAAATTTATAATGTTAACCACTTTTAAGTATACAGTTAAGTGGCATTAAGTACCTTGCTGTGTAGCCATCACCACCATCTATCTCTGCAGCTCTTTTTATCTTGCAGAACTGAAACTGAAACTCTGTACCTGCTAAACAGTAACTCCCCATTCTCCCCTCCACCTAGCCCTTGACAACCACCCCTCTATGACTATGAATTTGACTATTGTAGGTATCTCATACAAATGGAAACAATATAAAATTTGTCTTTTTGTGTCTGGTATTTATCACTTGGCATAGTGTTTTCAAGTTTCATCCAGGTTGAAGGAGGGCGTGTCAAAAGGCAAAATAATACTCTATTGTGTATATTTGTCACATTCAGGTATGTATAACATTTTGTTTTTACATTCATCTTTCAATGGATGCTTAGACTGCTTCTACTTTTTGACAATTATGGATAATGCTGCTATGAATACGGGTGTACAAATATGTATTTGAATCCCTGCTTTCAATTCTTCTGTGCCTATACCCAGAAGTAGAATTGTTGGATCTTAAGGTATTTTTAATATTTTTTTCTTATATCATGTTCCTCTTCCCATTTTATAATACTTTCTGTGCTTGCAGTTTGACAGTTACTCTCATCTCTAAAGTAGCCATATTTTGATTCATTGAGTATAACTTTCATTGTATATAATAGTGTTTTATTATTCTTTTTTAGAATAGAAAATTCAGATATTATATTTTAATCAAGTGAATTTGAAAGTGTGTTGCGTGCTGCCACAAACTCAGTAGGATTTCAATGTTAGTTGTTGGTTATTATTTTTTTTAATCTTTATTTTAGATTCGGGAGTACACATGCATTTTCATTACTTGGATGTATTGTGCAATTCTTGGTTATTGAGTGGTTTCTTCAGTATGAATTAGATAGAGGACTTTATTCCTAAATGATGAGCTATGTGTCAAAAATCACCTTTAAAATTCTGTTCAACGAAACAGTATCTGTTGTTTGTTAGTGAGTAAACTATTTTGGCATTTGGAGCTTACATTTTCAGAGAAGTGCTGTTACCAAAGAGTGGCTTCATTTTTTGACCAGCTTGAAAGTATAGTTACTTTCAATAACTGTACTTGGAAATATAGCAAAATTATACTGGTAGAATATCTAATCTCTAAATTTTGAAGAGTTGACTATGAATATGTCAGAGAATGTTGGGCAGGGGTTGTGTTTATGGGACTGGGGAGACTCCAGGGTAGCTACCTTTTGTAGTTGTAAGGATGTGGAGTATATTAAGACATGATGGGGAGAGTGAGGAGTGACTCAAGATTTAAAGGGGCTTTTAGGAACTGAAAAGCACATAAGGCAGCAGTAACCAGTCATGGGGTAGAGGGGGGTGTAGAAGCTGGTGCCAGCCTGGTCTGAATATCTACTCCATTTGGATCAGGAACAAGAGTCTTTTAGAGAACTGATGCTTAAGTGCATTGCTGCTAAGTATTCCATGTTGTGCCACATGTCGAACAAGTGTCTCTTGGATCCCTTTAACAATTCTGGAAATATGTTGCCAGTTGCTTTCAGATGCTGGCTGATTTGGAGTCTGCTAGATAGTTCCAAGTAAAGCTTAAGACAGGCACATAAAAAAAAAAACCCAGCAGAGCCCTAGAGTATGACTGCCCTATTGTATTTAGAAATGCTATGGACTTCTGTCTCTTAACTGTTCTAATCAGGGTCATAGGATTCAACAAGTTGGTGTCCTGTTGCCATTGCTTGTCCAGTCTTCCTTTTGAAGTTGAGTATTGTATGATACCTAGCCAATAACAAGTGACTGTGACCTGCAGAGTCCCCCAGGTCTATCAGTTTTCTCAGGTTTTTGCCTTGCTAAAGGAAGAAAGGGCAAGACAAAGCCTAGTTTACAGCGTTAAGATGTGGGATCTGTGCGATCCATCAACTGATGTCCATTTGTCATTTTGTCTTTTCTGCTTATTAGCACCCCCACCTGAAGTGAGGGAAATTCATAAGGAAGCATTTATTTTACTGAAGGTTCTATGTTCCTTTTAGTCGAGTTAGTAATACTGAAATTTTGAGTTGAACACATTTTATTTTTTGTAAAAAACTTTGTTTTTAAATTATACGTATTTTTTATTTTAAAATTGTGGGATACAGTTAAGGGTTAGGTATACAAATATGCATCGTTCAAGCATCCTTGTTGATAAGGGGTGTCCCCCCCATCCCCAGACAGATATTGACTACCATTAATCCCACCACCCTTGCCCTCCCTGCCCCTGCCCATAGATTCCCACCACTGTCGATCCTTTTCTTAAAGTATTACAATAGATGTTCTAGGTCCACTTATGAGTGAGAATATGTGATACTCAGATCTTTGTTGCTGTGAAAGATCACTCAGTATTATAGACTCTAGTTCCATCCAGGTTGCTGCGAAATTCATGATTTTGTTCTTTTTTATGGCTGCGTAGTATTCCATCGTGTATATGTACCACATTTTCAAAATCCAGTCCTCTTTTGATGGACAGCATGGTTGGTTCCAGATTCTTGCTATTGTGAACAGTGCTGTGATAAACATACGTGTGCAGGTATCTTTTATAGAGTGATTTGAGTTCTTTAGGGTATATTCCTAGTAGGGAGATTGCGGGGTCATATGGGAGGTCGATATTTAGAGCTTTTAGGAATCGCCACACTGCTTTCCACAGAGTTTGCACTAGTTTGCACTCCCACCAACAGTGTATAAGTGTTCCCTTTTCACCACATCCTCTCCAGCATCTGTTATTTTTTGAGTTATTGATAATGGCCATTCTGACTGGAGTTAGGTGGTATTATTTTGAAATTGTCTCAGGCTTTCAGAAAGTTGCAAAGTTTGTAAAAAGATTTCTGTTTACCCTTCTCTCATATACCCTAAAGGCTAACATTTTGCAACATTTATTTTCATTCTTTCTAATCTATACATTTAATTTGCCAATTGTCTCACTAACTTCCTTTATAGCAAAAGAAGCTTTTATTTTTCTTGGTTTACAACATGGCATTTTTTTTGGTAATTTTCTTTAGTATTATTTAATATGTGATAGTTCCCTGGTCTTTCTTTATTTCTCAGGACTTTAACATTCTTGAAGAGTAGAGGCCAGTTATTTTGTAGCATGTCCCTTAATTTTGGTTTGTCTGATGTTTCTTCATGATGAATTTCAAGTTATTGCCTTTTTTGGCAGGAAAATCATAGAAGTAATGTTGTGTCCTGCTCAATGCAAGCTGTGCAGAGGCGTATTCTATCTGTCCCATTTATTGATAGTCTTACTTTGATTATTTGGTTGAAGTGATATCTCTGGGCTTCTCCACTGTGAAGTTGCTATTTTTCTCTTTGTAATGAATACGTATCTCATGAGGAGATCAGAGATACTCTAAGACTGTATAAGTGTTCTTTTTCTAATTATACTTTTGCCCACTAGTTTTAGCATCCATTGCTGATTCTTCTCTTGCTTGTGACAATTACTAGTAATTGCCAAATGACTTTAGATCTTTAAAACATGATTTGTTGCACCTTTCATCTTTACCTGGCAAAGCAAATCTAAATGTTGGTTTAAGAGAGATATTGGATTATAGACTCTCTTATGTATTCTTGTTAAATCTCTGAGTGAATCTGAGCAATTGAGAATTGGATATTGTTTTTCTAATGATGCACTGGACTGGGATGGGGACATTCTGCCCGCCAGCAATTGTACTTAAACTCTGACCTTGTCTACCTCACTAGTACTCACTGTGAGC